GACCCATACAGTCAGGAAGTAGACCCAGAGGCCATGGAGGATGATTCCTACTGCGCCCAGATTGACGAGGGCGATGTGGAATCGGATCCAGAAGCAAGCGATGCACCATTGAACCTTCTCGGCCCCACTGACAAAGTGCCTTCGCCTGCGGTTGCCAGTGACTTGGACCCAAGATATCATGGTTACCACGACATTGCGGAGATCTACTCTCCGAGTCGCACGATCCCAATAGCGAAGCCAATGGGCCTGCATGGACTGCTGTCCTTGGACCTGTGCACTGGCTGGGACTTTCGAGTCGAGCAGCAAAGAACATTGGCCTTGGAGCTGATGGGCAGGCTAAAGGTTCTGTTCTGCATCCTTTGCCCTCCTTGCCGTGCGTTTTCGGATCTACAGCGACTCTGGAATTTTCGACGTCTCCCAGCTGAAAGAGTCCGAGCCATCTTGGACGAAGGCTTCCTGTACCTCAACCACGCGATGGCGATTGCAACAGCCCAGGTTCGTGGTGGGCGTTTCTTCGCTTTCGAGCACCCTCACAGAGCTTCGAGCTGGTCCACAGCTGAGGTCCAGAGTGTGGCTCAACTCCCTGGAGTCCACAAGGTGACCATCGACCTTTGCTACTTTGGCTTGGTCACGAAGGTCACCGGGACGCCTGTCAGGAAGCGCACTGTCATCCTGACCAATAGCTGGCACTTGCTACAAAGGCTACAGAACTGTACTTGCTGTGGAGACCATGAACACGCACTTCTGCGAGGTTCCGAAGGTGGAGTCTCCCGCACAGCATGGGCTCAGATTTACCCTGCGCGTTTCTGTGCAGCGCTGGCGGCTGCAGCCAAGGCTCACCTGGATGACAGCTTGTCTGAGTTGTAGACTCCTTTACTTTGCGACCCCGACAGTCTCTAGTTCTAGTGTCCAAAAAGTTTCAGACTCACACGTCGCCTTCTGGCAGCCCACTTGTGGGCAGCCAGAATAGCAAGGGACAGGTTTAGGTCAAACCTTCAACCCTATATCATTGACCGTTTGCAGGGAGTC